ACTCAAAGATTTCATGAAATGTTGTTTTGGACTTTAGTAATATAAGCAAATGTTCTGTTTAAAAATATGTGTGAAGTTGGGTTCAAATATTATCTTAGGCCATAACAATGTTTCTTTTTTTCCAATTTCCAAAATAAACACAGGCACCAAAACACCCACAACAGGATGTATAGCTTCCACATTCACACCATTGGAAACCTCATTTGCCAGTAACAAAATATGATAATTGGTTTTGTTACCCTTTTTATCTGGCAACAAAACTGACGCCTTTTTTTACAAGGAGTCATGTTTACATTGACCACAATACCTGCAGTCGGAACGCAAACAAAAAACAACAACTCTGATAATGTATGCACTGTCCTTGAAATTGATTGGTCCACACCCGAGACAGCTTTCTTTAGAGCCTCGTCTCACATGGTGTTGGACCAGAAGACGCCAAAAGGCGCACAACTCAAAGGCAATGCACCATCAGAGTATGAGAGCTCGGGGTAAGCATTTACACCATTGGAAACCTCATTTGCCAGTAACAAAATATGAAAAAAAATAAAAAGGTGTCAGTTTTGTTGCCAGATACAAGTGTAACAAAACCAATTATCATATTTTGTTACTGGCAAATGAGGTTTCCAATGGTGTAAATACTTACCCCGAGCTCTCATACTCTGATGGTGCATTGCCTTTGAGTTGTGCGCCTTTTGGCGTCTTCTGGTCCAACACCATGTGAGACGAGACTCTAAAGAAAGCTGTCTCGGGTGTGGACCAATCATTTTCAAGGACAGTGCCAATACATTATCAGAGTTGTTGTTTTTTATTTGCGTTCCGACCGCAGGTATTATGGTCAATGTAAACATGACTCCTTGTAAAAAAAGGTGTCAGTTTTGTTGCCAGATAAAAGGGTAACAAAACCAATTATCAGCTTCCACATTGTTGTTTTCATTTTTCTCCATTTGTTTATATTTGAAAATACATCACCTTGCTCCATACTATGCATGTTTTTTGACGATGTTAATATGGAAGAAAGCACCAAAAACAATACAGAAAACAGCAGCAACAAAAACACACGAGAAAAGTGTATATGATGTGGCAAACCACTCAGAGCAAGCCGTGCAATTATTGAGGCATAAGCGTAATTTCTTTTTTAAGTCCCTGGGTAGGGAATTGGCTACAATAGTTATCAAGCGCTGGACTCACATCAAATAAGTTCTGCTTTCATCTGGCGACTGGCATGCGGTAAAGTGTGACCCAAAACCCCCGGCAAAATGCTGGTGGAGCTTGCGGTTGCTTCCTTTGCTCGCCGGTTCGATTGATGCCGCGAAGCGTTCCCCTCCATCCATCGACGCTCAAGAGGGGCGAACAGAGATCAGCTCACAGGCAGACCAGACATCACGCACACAGCGTCCCTCAGGGCTATAACTAGCCGTGTTGTGTTAGTGTCAAATGAAACTACCATGAAGAATTAGTATTTTGGTTTATTTCATACTTTTACAGACTTTCTCTTCAATGTTTACTTTAGGTCAGCAGTTGGTGCGCGTGTGTGTTTCCCATGAAATCATTATTCTTAAAGTGTAACCGAAACTTAAGGCTGACCCAAGAAAAGGGAAAGCCCCTTCCGTGATGTGGTGGTGTATTATTTTTCCTCCCACCAAAAAGTTGAGTGTTGGTTCTCTTGCGTTTATTCTGTGGGGGTTGGTATGTGACTCATTGGCATTGACTAATTTAGGCCGCTTGCGAGACAGGTGGGTGCTTGAGCAATGAAGCCAATGTCAAGCTCTGTATGCTGTACATGTATGGGATGATAATTATGAACTGCTAATTAAGCAAATCATCTGAGTTCTGTTACACGTTGTTATTTGCAATTAGCTGAAAATAGGCACTTTAAAATACGTACTGTAATTTGTCAGGAAAACATGTGGCTAGGTTTTGTAGCACGAACTTTGAGGGCATTGAATTTACCATCATTGAAACAATGTCCAGAGAGATCTGTCTTACTAGCGTGACAAATAGGTTATTCATGCCACACCCGCAATTTAGTTCGGGGAGCCAACAGGTGTTTTAATATATCTACTTCGCGAGCAGGATTAAATTATGCTTTGCAGTGTGAAAGTGTAACTTAACATAATGTTTTTCTTTTGTATAGCCTAACCTGCCCTGGACATAAAACCAAAAGGTTGGTGTATCTGAGAAACATTTGTATCTGCGTTGTCATGTGCAGTTCTGAATCTTTTTCTGATCCTTTAAAGTCCTCTAGAGACTTGTCCAAGATCAGATATAATGTCAAAGCTTCTTTAAAATCCTTAGCTGAGACAGCATTTGGTTTTCAATTGAACTATACAATGTTAAAGTCCGCTGGAGATATACGATCAAACATTTAGAACCTATGCATACCTGGCATTTTTAGGGTAGATAAAAAATATTCGTGTTTTATGTATGTATGTATGTTGAACTTCTTTTGTACCATACGTAGCGAACCATGCTAATCGGAGGTGCGGGATTGTACTATAAACAAAAATGACAATTGTGATAGTCGAGAAATATGTTTTTGAAATTAATATTGGTCTGAGACAAAGATCCCCCGTATGGCCTATAACAGACTGCTGGGGCAAGTGCTGTTAGCGAGCACCGATGAAGGCCGGCACGGCACACGATGGGGTGGGTGGCCAGCACCACGCCTCGCCGAACTTAGTCTCCACAGTGCTAGCGATGTTTACTCCACACCCCAGCTTGGGAGGTCTTGATCCAGCAGTGAATTATAACATGGCTGACGATGATGACGATGAATGCAATTAGGCCATGGAAAGTTGAGTTACCACGATTTAAATTAAAAAAAATGTGAAGGGAGGGATGAGATGTGAGGTTGGACGCTCTTGCATCATGTCAACACACTCCCATGCCGTCTCACTGTAAAGTCAAGGACTCGCGCGCTCACAACGAATAGGATTTTGCTGCCGGGAATGCAATGCTCACTTATGGCAGACACGTGATGAAGACAATTCGCCTCCCATATCTGTCCCTCCACATAAATAATTAGGTAGATTCTATACATCCCATCAGCCACACAATCTTCTGAGAGTGCATCATTTCAGTAATATCTGTTGACAATAAGCAGCTTTGCGAGTTTCAATATTGAGTGTCTCATCAGCAGTCAGACACTTGTGAACTACCAGATGTGTTTATCAGAATCAGAATATTTACTGGAGGAACCCGATAAGCTATAGAGCTCTTTTTCACAGATGTCCAGTTTCTAGATAAGGATCTTCTCTGTAATGTTTGCTTTGTAGAGAATAAACAGAGAATTGTAGATTTTTTTTTGTTTTAAACAAGAGAATGTGCATTCAAAGAGAGGACATACCATTTATGTAGTTTGCAAAAATGAATTGCGATACTTTATTTATCCATTCAGCACAGATCATTTTGAAAACATTACAAAGACATAACATCAAACAAAATATATACCTTTCTTTTCATACAAGTTACATGATAGGTTTCATTTATAAAATGATATAATAAACATTTATAAACAATTCAGTCCAAGAGATGGGATTCAGTCGAATGGAACACGCACGGGAGAATATTGACACGGGCAATGTTTTATAAATTTTTGTGAAATACTATTGTGATACTTTTCTATACTGCACTGAAATGAGCAACCAGCCTTCATACCTTGGAGACATTGTGTATAAGGGTGTGTGTTTTTTTAAGGAACATGATATATTCTTAGGGGAGGAAAAGTGGAAACAAAAAACACTGAAGAAAATATCCTTGAACATTTGAATGTATAAAGCAAATGCTTACTGACGAAATACTGTAACAGACATTAAATAAGGAAGCAGTCAGAAAAAGGTTACAACAGCACACTTTGGATAGTGCCATTTTGTTTTATTTCACATTTCATTTATACACTTACTGGTAAATAGTTTGGATGTGTGTCTCGATGACGTCCCGAACGTAGATTTCCATGCGAAGCGATTTTTATTTTAGTTATGATTTTAATAAACTGCCCAGAAATCTTCAAGTGGAAAAAGCATGGACAATGTTCAGGAAGCTTAGATTATTTTTCCACTACATTATATTATGTACAGTATCGGAAAAAAAATCTGCATTCTCATCCAAGTGTCTTTAAAAGAAGGGATATCTAAACCTTGCCAGAAAGAAACCCACAAGTTGCTTATTAAATCAAATGTGATTTGGTCAAAGCACAAATGCATCTGTTCACTGCATATGTCAATTTAGAACAATCGCGTAAGTCATGAGCGATCCATGCCCAACACTTATTTTCCCAAACCTTTATGCTTTATTGGAATAGAACAATCTAAAAACTCCAACAAGGGAGTGTAAATGGATCATAAGCTTGATGGTCACAAGCTGCACTGTGGTCAAACAAAATACATTATAGCGATATAATTTTGAAACAAACAAAAAAATATCTCGCAATTCATTAATTTGAATAGCTACGGATTATTTGAAATATACATAATAAACTGGATTTGTTTTTCATTAACATGATTAAGCTTAATTTTACTGTACACATACATCACAGAAATATATATAATTTGCGTTCTCAAATATCCCTGATATTTTAAGATGTGTTTTGTTTATTGGAAATGAATGGCTAAATTGTACAACTCAGCTTAAAAATACAACAATAATTATAATGAAAGGCACAATTATTTCGGTCTTAACTACACAAACTCTGACGCCATTGTAAAACGATCTCACGTGACGCACCTGCACACTTTTACAGGTAAACTTTACACAATAAATATATACACAAACGTCATAATGATTAAATACAAATATAGAGGAGGTGTGTGTATATCAATACAAAAACGTTTCGCTTTTAGTTTAACAAGCAGATGTTTTGATATGATTGATTGCGCGCGGGTACAGATTGTCTTTGGTTGCCCGTGAGCGTCATGAATGATGACACCATTCTGGCGACATTCTAAAGGTGGAGGCCCTGTGGATGCCCGATTTACATACCACGGACAGAGAGGCCATTCTCACTCGTTTCTATACAATTTGATTTCCATATATTTCTCTCTTCATTTCAACACGTGACAAGTGTTGAAAAAAATACCGTGGACGATGTTACTTGTTATAAAACAAATAAAAAGGGCATTGTCACTTTAAAAAGGTGACATTTGATAACCCTAAAGCTATTTTTTTTGCAAATGTATGTTTCATTTGATAACGTTAATACTAACTAGAATCTGTATTTTTAATCAGGCAGTAATATATTTATGCACATATGAATTGTAATGATGGTAACCATGCTAGTAACAGGTCACACATATGCTCTAATCCTACAAACTACTTTAAATGGCCATCTATATATGACTTAAGAGATTGTTTTAAAATTACTACCCTTTTCCTGTGATTTGTATCAAATAAAAATTCCAATAACATATAAAAAACATTGCAGACAATCTTTAATTTAGTTAGATGTATAACTCTGTTTACAAATATATGTTCCTGCAATACAAAAGTCCTTTGATTATGTTTCCTCAGAACTAAAGTTTTAAATGGAGAGTAAAAAAAATGCATGTAATTTTCCGAGGGTACTAATGGCGAACGAAGATTAACACCTGACCGATACTCAAGTCTTTGCGAGGCACATGTCGCTTGCACGTTAAATAAGATTTCGGCAAATGTTTAGCCATTCCTTTAATTAGCTTTGTTTATCTTCAATCTGACCGCAGCATTCGCTTACGAGTGTTACTCATTAGCTGCCCAAATCGCGGGTCGACCCTTGTCCACATGTGGGAGGGGGCAGGCAAGTCTTGCGAGACTTCACCCCCGGGTGCCCGTGAGTCGCAGGCTGTGTCTCTGGCCTGCTCAAGCAGAACGTTGTGCATTCCTTGGTTTCGCCCCAGTGGTGCTCTAAAGGAAAGACGTTTGCCAGGCCTTACCACCGTGGGTTGCTACGTAATGTTGACTCGGCAACATGAGATGCAGTGAAATTCCGCCACCCCCCCCCCCCCCCGGGCAAAAGGTCTAGACTGATGGGACCTGCCTTCACGTCTCTCTCCTTCCGCCCTCTATACAAAGCCAAACGACAAACAGCTCTGGTGCGGAGCTGGAGAAGGAACGGGGCCCCCCCCCCCTCGCTAACACTTGTAGTGCACGTACTGGTGCTCTTGCACTTTGCCCTCCGCGTGTGCGTGGTAGTGGCTGTGCACGTCCATGTGGTAGAACTTTGACGGCGAGAAAGTCCGCGGTGTCTGCGCGATGCCAGCGGCCGTGGGCAGCGCGCACTCCTCGGGGACTCCCGCCAGCGAGCTGCCCTCCTTCTCGGACAGCGTGGCCTGAGCCGAGGCTGTACGCTCCCCACCGCGCTTGCCGTTGATGTGGCCATACTGCAGCTGCTGCTGTTGTTGTTGTTGCTGCTGCTGCTGATGGTGTTGCTGCAGTTGCTGTAGGTGAGGCAGAGCTTGCTGGTGAAAACGCTGGGCGTCAGGTGACCCAGGCAATGGCGCCCCTTGTCCGGCGGGTGATGAAGGTCGGCACAGCCGACATCGGTTGTGATGCCGGCAAAGCCAGAATGTCGCCATGGCCAAGAGCAAGCAGACACCGGTGGGTATACCCACGATGGCCGGCCAGGGCAGGGAGCTCGCAGTTGGTAAGGGCTCTCTCTTCATCTTGGTGGGATCTGATTGAGCAACAAAGTACGGAAAAGTCAACCACGTTTGAAATATTGTAGCCCACAGCTACGCTCTATGTATGCGTGGAATGGATATATATTTTTTAAAAATGTTTTCACTCCTTCACAAATGTCTACCATATGTCAAGAAATGATGGCCTATATGACTATTGCTTCGAGCAAGATCTAAATAAATACCTTGGTCACAAACGTTGTGCATTGTAACAATGACAATGGTCAGAAATATTATAATAACAATAATATTTTGAAATAAACGAACATATGCGCATTTGATTATTATTTTTCTCGAGTCAACGGCCCACGGCTACGACCAGGCCTACCACAACCCCTCCTTGACGCCTCTTGTCCTGAGTGTCACTGTGACTACACCAACACTTTTAATAACAACCCCACTCTTCATCTCAACCTCCAGTATAAATAAAGATTCCGATCTTGCATGCAATTTACAACCGCTGTAAAGCGCCTTAGAATAAGGCTCTACAAATAAAATCTATACAATATTAGGAAGGCATTTAGCGTGCGCGGCTGCGTTACACTCTGCCGCGAGCGTACACGGTTACGTACACGGTTTACGTACACGGTTTACGTACATGGTTACATACACGGTTTACGTACACGGTTACGTACACGGTTTACGTACACGGTTTACGTACACGGTTTACGTACATGGTTACATACACGGTTTACGTACACGGTTACGTACACGGTTTACGTACACGGTTTACGTACACGGTTTACGTACACGGTTACTCGCGCGCACTGCGACATCGCCCCCCGCCTCCCCCCCCGTGTCTGCAGAGCCAGCGTACCGGACTGCACGGTGAGGAAGGCGCTGCGGAAGCTGTAGCCCATGCTGTTGGCGCCCAGGCAGATGTACATGCCGGCGTCCTCGGCCCGCGCCCTCACGATCACCAGCTTGTTGAGGTAGGAGCCGTCCGGACGCGACCACACCTCGCCCGTGGGCAGCACGGCGAAGCGTTGGCCGCGGACGTCGATGGTGGAGTTGAGTCCGTGCACGCCGCCCGGCTCCACGCGCTTCAGCCACTGGATGACGGGCTTCACGTCGCTGCGCACCTTGCACTGGAGCGAGGTCGAGCCGCCAAAGTCCACCGTGGTGTTGACGGGGTGCGTGCCCGTCAGCACCGGCTTGGAGCGCATCCGCTCTGGGTGGGGTGGGTTGAGAGGTGCACGCGCCAGTTTGTTGCGCGCTCCGGCGTGCATTCATTTCGAATAGATTTACTTGGGGTCAGGCGACAATGATAATGGGTCAAATTCGTGTGGTACGAGCCTACGGCACCCGGCGCACAGCTGAACAAACGTAAACTGCGGCGTATGCAAGCGTTTGACGCGCCAATCAATGATCGTTGTTTCAGCTCGCCGGTAAATGAAAGTGCAACATTTTTCACAATCAAATGTGCATCCAAAATGCTAAATCTGGATGTGAGAGAATTGTTCTTCAGCTTAGCCCTGCAAATTACCATTAACTGTATGTGCATAATGAGGAATCAAACATGGGTCAATAAATAATAACAACAATGCCCTTTATCCACAAAAGCCTCACTGAGTCTAAGACTCTTATTGTTTTGACAATCCCATTAATTCTAGGCATGTGGGAGGAAATCGTAGTCGCTGGAGATAATTATACAAAGGATACCACTCAAAGCTGTGCAGGTTAGATTCAATCCACTGCTGTACCGCTATTACCTGGCCGCCCACATCCCAGTACTTCCAAGTACTGGGCTCCAATTAGCTTAGCCTCCGGAATCTGATGACATTGGGTACAAGCCTGATTTGGTCATTGGCAACTTATTGTGAAGTAACGCATTGCCAAGTCAACTCTACAAAGAAAAGCAAGTGTGGGTGGCCCAGCCACCTTTGTCTCCCTAGTGATGTTTACACACCACACCAGGCACTCATTTGAGGCCGAGTCGACCTAGAGGAGGCCCAGGACTGGTTCCAATAATCGTAACTGGTGTTGGCCGTGAGCTGGAATCGAACTCTGGGGTCCACGGGTTTGCAGCGCTAACCGCTGCACTGCCGCCCCCCACTAACACACACACACACACACGCACACTGCCGCCCCCCACTAACACACACACACACACACACGCGCACACGCGCGAGTATTTTCAGAATATTCACCGATAACATCGATCTTGTAGGTGGCGCTGATTTCCCCGAACCGGTTGGACACGCGGCACGTGTAGCGCCCCGCGTCCTCTGGCCTCAGGCTCCGCAGGATCAGCGTCCACCTCTTTTTGCCTTGTGCCTTCCGGAGGTCGGGAGGCATCCCGTCGCCGTCGCCGCGAGCGGCCGCCCTCACGTCCAGCGCCAGAGGAGCCGCGGTGGGCGACGGCCCGGCGTCGCCGAACACGTGCTCGTCCTTGAACCAGACGACGTCCGGCCGGGGGCTGCCGCCCGCGTTGCACTTGAGGCGAACGGAGCTGCCGACGGGCCTCGCGATCACGCGCCGCCGCATCTTGGCCGGCTGCGTGAACCGCGGCTTCACTGAGGAGGCGCGCACAGCACGCACAGCGCACGCACAGCACGCACAGCACGCACAGCACGCACAGCGCACGCACAGCACGCACAGCGCACGCACAGCACGCACAGCACGCACAGCGCACGCACAGCACGCACAGCGCACGCACAGCACGCACAGCACGCACAGCGCACGCACAGCACGCACAGCACGCACAGCGCACGCACAGCACGCACAGCACGCACAGCGCACGCACAGCGCACGCACAGCGCACGCACAGCACGCACAGCGCACGCACAGCACGCACAGCACGCACAGCACGCACAGCGCACGCACAGCACGCACAGCGCACGCACAGCGCACGCACAGCATGCACAGCACACGCACAGCACGCACAGCGCACGCACAGCACGCACAGCGCACGCACAGCACGCACAGCACGCACAGCACGCACAGCGCACGCACAGCGCACACACAGCGCACGCACAGCGCACGCACAGCGCACGCACAGCACGCACAGCACGCACAGCACGCACACACACACACACGGGCACGCGTGTAAGCACGCGCATGCAACAAAAGACGTAGATGCCCTCTTTAGCATTGTAAAGTGTTGGAATGGGCTGCTATTCGCGAACGTCCGTTCAAGGTGATGTTCTCATTTTGTTGACCAAGTCATCCTAGGTAAATTCTCTTATCTCCCATTGCTGAGAAATGCAATGTCATTTCTTGAAGTATGGATTGGCCTCTGTCAACACTAATGAGTTTTGCCCTGTCCCCATATTCTAATCATAATCAACAAGACAATGGATAAATATCGTGGTGCTCACAGCCTTGTAAGCAAACATGGTGTATGCTATACTGTTTTCAGAATATTATTGAATGAGCCAGTCACATCACATTACGTTCAGTTGTACACATTGTTCTTCCAAAATATAAGTATACATCTATTTGCCAAAATAGGATCCTGTATTCAGAGTATCACAAACGTGGCAATCTTGCCGAGCGGAAGTGTTGTGTTTGAAACAAAACTGACGCTGGAGTACGTATGTTGAACTCCTTTCGTGCCATACGTAGCCAACCGTGCTAATCGGAGGTGCGGGAGTTGAGATTCGAGGATGGACTTACTGCCGGCTTTGCCCAAGTGGCCGTCTTCCCCGGTCCTGGCATTGATCACCGATGTTCGCAACGCACCGCTACTCCCTGTGCTTCCCTCCTCTGCACAGCATGCAAACACACACACACGGCAAACTGTTCAGCTGCAGAAAAATGCAATGTGCCCACCCCCCCCCCGCTGAATGGCCCATTTATGAATAAACAAGAAGGGGGCATGCAGATGCATTGCTTTGTTCTTGGATGGCTACTAAAACATTTGTTTCAATTAGCGTTAAAGCGCTTGCAGTTATGCAAAACGAACCACTGCTTTCCCGAGCAAAATTTCTCACAACGACATCATGTTTAAGTCCTGCCAGGCTCGCGTATCCAGACGAAGGCGCACGTCCTTTGAGCAAGAGCGGTCGGTCGCCACAAAGAGGTCCCATTGACCACTCCAGTAAGCCGGGGATTACAGCCGTCGCTCGTTACGGACGCCGACTTATGGCGATTAGCATAACGTGGCCAAAGCCGCCTTTGATCTGCGTCCCCCAAAGGCTGAGCGGGCCCCCCCATTCATCTGCTCATAAGTGGGGGGGGGGGGGGGGTGGCATCGGGGTTGGTCATACACACCAGAGTGAGCGATTGTTTTGGAATGAGGTGAAATCAAATGTGTAGAGTCTCGCCACACGCTGCACATGCATTGCATGTACAGGATGTAAAACAAAGGTCCCCATTTAGCTTGGCTGATTGCCTATCAGGGTAAGTATTGTGAGACCCTATCACGGGCAATGTCGCACATGATCGAGTGGTATGGCAAAACCACAAATGCACATTTGTGCTGACATTGCCCACACCACATGAGATATAATTCATTTCAGTCCGAGCTGATCTAGGGGAGGTCCAGCCCAAGTTCACACTTTTTCCACTTACCCAATGCAACTAGTGTAGTGCCAATCCAGCAATCGAACTCGGAACACAGGAATCATAGCACAGATGAACACATTATTCTACGCTACTGGTCCTTCACACACGCACACACACATATGCAATATACGTGTGAAATATACCACTGCAAGCAGTATATTTCTGAACATTTCTTTTTAAAAAAATGTGTAGCCCTTTTTTTGAGGCAAGGCACCGAGCTGTCCTGGCTCTCCGCGAGCTGCAGGCGACGAGCTGTCGACCTCTCGATAAACCATTCTCAAGTCAGCTGCTGTGCTCCTTTGTGACAGCACTTGACCTGAGAATTGCAGCAACCAGCAACGCTTGCAGGAGGTCCACCCATCCCCCCCCACCCCCCACCATCATACAATAACATACATAAATTCAGTGTTTTTGTTTACAGTGCATTAAAAAACTCAGAGCTTCAGTGCTTCATGTCACGTGTTAAAATTGTACGTCCTAAAATTTGATTTCATCGACAGGTCACAACACGATTGTCTGTCTAGAATTACAAAGAGCTATTTACGGTTGCGATAAGTCCGCTGTGCGTGTTCCCCCCCCCCCCCCCCAAAAAAAAAATGCCAAAAAGTGCCTTAAGCCAGTAAATTGGATAGTTTGACTGTCCATGTGGGTCACCCTTCAGCCCTTTAACCAATTCATGCTGTGGGTCTCGAAGAGCAGATGGAGAACGTGAAAGCGCCGGAACACAATCAAATGCCGAAGCTCCTCTCGACTCGGTGCGAGCAGGGAATGTGGAGGGCCCAAATGGAAAGTCTGCAAGGGCTACAATCAAGCGGGAGCCCACATGAAACCACATACGGCCCCCTGTGTTTCTATAGGCATTCAGCGGGACTCATTTGGGGTTTCATCAACTTGACGAGACTTGTTGTTCCCAAAACAAAGTCTTTTGTGGGCCTGTCTTGTCCAACAGCCCCCCGAGGGCGGGCGTGTGAAAGGGGTGTGTGGGCGATGGACCGTTTGGTGCGTGCTGCGTGACAAAACCGCACAAGCCACACCACTGACTTGACGGCTTTCGCGAAGGAGAGGCTTGACGTGCATTCAATCGCAAGTAAACTACAATCGCGCCACGCCGCTCAAGGTGGCGACGAGCGCCACCACTCGCTCCGGAAGAGATCGCTCGTGCCGTTTCCCGCCGGTGCGTATTGCAAGAAAAAAAAAGGATTTATGTCCAGAGGTGGCACGCCATCGCCGACGTCTGCTGAACGTGGAGCCTCCTCCACTCCTCGGCATTGATAATAACTAAACGTGCACATTTACGCACCAAAAAACAACGCCGGTTGAGAAAAAACTAAATTGCCGGTCGCGCGACAACAAACATCCAATCCGGTGACTGATCTAAAAAAAAAATTACGTTCGTTGTAATTTATCGGATAAGCAGTGGCGCTGCGTGCTGCCTGGAGGCAGATTGAGACGTGGTTGTAAAACACGTCTGAATGTGCAGGCTCAGTCAGTCAGGCGTGTGCCTGTGAGGCCCAGGGGCAGCAAAATTTACCTGGGTTCAAGGGTCGTCCAGCAAGTGACGTCCAGTGTATCGTAGTGCTTGCAACCGCCGACAGTAAATCGAGCAAGGGCACAGCATCCAAAAGTATGCCATCTCTAGAAAGCCTGTTCACCTGCCTGTCAGTGACTGACAGGCAGTTTCTAGACTGCATGGTTTAAAAGCACGTGAGCCTCAACTTAACGGTATTCTGGGTGGTCACTCGCACTCCTCATCGGGACCATATCTCATCTGTGGTCATGTCTCTGCTTCCAGTTCAAAACCGCACTGAGTTTGAACATCTCCTTTTGAGCAAGGATTTCATTGGGATTGCTTGCTTTACATCGGCTTGCTCCATCATAAATTGGAAACGGATTTCTTTAGAACTGCTTTTTTGTGTGCAGTTTGCTGTCCTTCCCCTGCACCTCCGATTAGCACGTTTAGGCTACATACGCTGCGAAAGAAGTTCACTATACATACGTATACATATATCCAGGAGTTAATTCGGCCACACAGTCCACTGAGATCCACCGATCGTGGCCTTACGCGGCGTAACTGGGCTCCAGGCTTCGAACCTGGGCTGACCACCAGGCTTTTGTCTGCACGGCACCCAGGCTCTGGTGTTCCCTGCCCTTGGAGATCAGAAACTCGAAGTCGATGGAGACTGAAGACCCCACCATCCGTTTAAAAGGCCCGCTCTCCGTAGTCTTTCTCTCCCAGGTCACTTCTCACTAATTCTCCTTTTTATGCGCGGTGGTTGGAGATACATTGTTTACGTGTGCCTTAGAAATCTATATTATTTTGATTCAAACAAGTGGTATACAAAAGCATTTATTTTATGAGTTCACAAAAATATAAACCCGCTAACATTTTACAGTGGTATAATTACAGATTCTTATAAGAACTTAAACAAGCACTAGAAGAGCGTATGTTGTTAACTTACCGAGTTCTTCACGAAATGTATTACAATTTTAATCTGGCGTACATTGATGGAAACCAAATGTCGCTTATCCTTGAGATTCATGAAACAACGTGAAGCAACACTGTAAGCGTGCTGGCAGGAAACATAACAAAATCTGCGGCTAGGGGGATAACATACCTAAAATAAGATAAAAATGGAATAGAAAAAAAGGATAAGTAGATAGGGAGGAGATGTTAACAAGTGCAGGTCCCTTGATAACAGTGGGAACAGCACAGAGTGAGTCTTTGGGACAAATCTCCCGAGTGAAATGTGATCCAGAGGAGATTGGCAATGGAGATCCTCTCCGTAAATATGGGGCGCCGTTTGGAATGACAGCTGGGATTACATTTCCAAAACCCCGGCGGGTTTCGTGTTTAAGGGGCTCCGGGAGTTTTACTTGGGCCGTAAGCTATCCGCTGTGTACGCTGCTGTATAGGGCAGTGCCGATGATTTGTTATGGCTATGCGGCTACAGCACGTGCCCGTCTCTGGAAGCACCTGCCAAGAATTGGAAATCATCATTTTAAACAATGTAAATGTAAATATTGAGGTAAGAGACTATTTGAAATAAATATCGTTCTCACTTTGATGTACAATCACAGTGCCATTCTACAGGAATAATAATTCAGAATTATGCTTCAAATGTTGTATACGCTTGTATACATTGCTTTAGTTAAAACAATTTGTTTTAAAAACAAGACCACTCGGGAGATAAAACGTCAAAGATCAGGTAACCTTTCCTGACGAAACATGCGATACGTGCGTTTAAAATAATAATCAAATTAAATCGCTCAGGTTTCATGCATTTGTGTTTCTTGCAAAAATTCACGTGCAAACGTCCGCCTCTGATGCCGTCACCCAACTTTGAACAAGCAAACACTAGTCAGAGCAATTCCCTGCATGTAAGCATTATTGAGCAGAAGCAACAGGCTAATGGGCAAGCCCTGAGCAAATTAACCGGCCCATAGCAGCCGTATTTAGTGGCCAAAAGCTGCAAAGGCAAACACTCCAGGAGGCCTATTTCACCACATAGGGCTTTTTTTTGTATTTTGCCCTCACATTCTGCACACCCCTGCAGTCCTGTAACAGCCTCCCCTCTAAAATAGCTTTGGGCCAAGAGCTGCCCCTCTTCACAGTAACAAGTGGGGGCACTCCTTCGTGCTCTGCACCGCAGCTGGAGATGGTATTTTTGAAAGGCTGCCTTCCGCCGTAGTGGTGATGTCACCTCCTACAATGGCTAATGAACTGTGCAGTGCCAAGGAATATGACTAACGAGACATAGGCCCTACCACCTCAATCGTACCATACAAATACAACCCTAGATTTAGTCTACGTTACAACAATGCAATTCATCGCCCTATTTGTTTATGGCAATTACACCTAAGTAGAACAGCATGGTTTTTTACATTTCAAGCGAATGTTCAAATCAAATTCAAGCAAGTGGAAGATGTATTTACTTACCGATTTTTGTTTTATATATAACGCTTTGAACCACAAACTATACACTTTTACTAGGGCTATGCAATCCACAAACAAATGGCATGGAATCTGAGATGTCACGCACAACTGGGAGCAAACTAATGGGGGGCCCAAGGAGTGAAAGCACAAAAATAATTCTATGTACTTGGGACTTTTTTTGCTGCATCGTACTTTGCAGTGTAATGCTGTGATAAAATACTATTCTCTGTTCTCCATTTATAAAAGCATCTACTTTGTCACGTGA